ACTGTGCTCATCCATTCTTCTCCCACGTTCGGTGAGTATCTTTATGACCATTATTTTGAACTCTTTATCTGGTAGATTGCTTATCTCCATTTTACTTAGTTCTTTTTCTGAAGATTTGCCTTGTTCTTTCATTTGGAACATATTTCTTTGTCTCCTCTTTCTGCCTAACTCTCTGTTTTGTTTCTATGTATTAAGTAGCTCAGCTACATCTCCCAGTTTTGAAGGAGTGGCCTTATGTCCTGTGGAGCCCAGGAGCATGGTTCCCCCCAGTCACCACAGCCAGGTGCTCCAGGGGTGTCCAGCTGGACTACAATTGCTGCAGGTGCGCTGGGGGGTAGGGCAGGTCTCCAGTGCAGCTGTCTGCAAGGCTCAGCTGCAACTGTTGTGAGCACTCCGATGTGCTGGGCTGGTACACTGGGGTGGGAGCTGCTTTGGGGCGATGCTGGTCCCAGCCGAGGCCGCTCACTGGGTGTGGTGTGGTGGGCCTGCTTTGGAGCTGGTTTAGGCTACCTGTAGGGCGTGCAGGATGGGGGGACACTTGGGAGGGGGTCTGGAGCTGGCTGAGGTTGCCTGCTGAGTATTGTATGGAGGAGCAGGAGGCCGCTCTGGAGGAGCGCTGGCTGGGGTGGGTCAGTAGGAGAATGCCAGGGTGGCGTGAGCAGCGCTAGTAAGGTAGATAATGAGATCAGAAATGGTGCCTGCCAGCGCCGGGCCAGCTAGGTAGAAGGTAAGCAAAAAAAATGGTGCCTGCCAGTGCCTCCATCCCTGGAGAAAGTTCCAGCAGATCCCTGCCCCTCTGGCACATGCCCTAAAATTAGTCAGTGAATCTCATTCACATACGACCCAGGCACTTTTTAAACTGTTGCCTCTGTGCTGGGACTCAGAGTGAGTGAATTTCTGCGTGCACCCTTTAATAAGAGAGTCTCAATTTCCTACAGCCCTCCAGCTCTTCACAACATAGCCTTGCTTGTTTTCAAAGGCAAATGTTATGGGGGTTTGTCTTCCTGGTGCAGGTCTCCTGGGTTGGGGAGCCTGATGTGGGGTTTGGACCCCTTGCTCCTCAGAAAGGATCTCTGCAGCTGTGATATCCCTCCCACCTATGGGTTGCCATGCTGGGGGTGTGGGTCCCTACCAGACCACATCTCTGCCCTGCCTACCATCTCAATGTGGCTTTTTCTTTATATCCTTAGTTATGAAAAATATTTTCTGCTGGTCTTCAGTCATTCTCAGAGACAGTTGCTCTATATGTAATTGTATTTTTGGTGTGTCCATAAGAGGGAGTGAGCCCAGGATCATCCTAATCTGCCATCTTGATCCCAAGTCAGAGAGCTTCTATTTTTCATTTGTCTCAAGTGTGTCTCAATGAAAACTTTTTATGATGGCTGCTTTAAATTCCTTGTCAGATAATTCAACTTCTGTGTGTCCTGGTGCTGGCATCTGTTGTCTCTTTTTACTTGAGAGATTTTCCTGGTTCTTAGTATAACAAGTAATCTTCAATTGTACTGTATTATGATATGGGACTCTGGATGTTATTTAAATCTTCTGGGTTAGTGGGCCTCCTCCGACACCATGCCAGCACAATGCCAGTAGGGAAAGGATGCTGCCTATTATTTTCAGATGGGGATGCATGTCCTGGGTGCCCACCTGATGTCCATTGACTTTTGGGGCGCAGGGGATAGGCGTGTATCATTACTGCTAGGTGAAGGTGAAAGTTTAGGCTCCTTACAAGGTTTCTGCTGACACCATCTTGGCTGGGAGGGGAAGGGATGCCTCATTACTGCTCCTCACGTAGCCTTCACTGACACTATGGGTAGGGTGAAGGGGGAGAGGGAGGCTCATTACCTCTGAGTGGGGATTAAAGTCCTGGCTTCCCTGCTGGCCTTTTCAGACACCATCTGGCAGGAGGGGAAGGAATGAATCATTACCACTGGGTGGGAGTTGAAGGTTCTCCACGTGGCCTTCACTGAAGCCTGTGGGAGATGGTGAAAGCTCTGGCTCCCCACCAGACCTCTTCTGACATAGTCCTGGCAGGAAGTGAGGAATACCTTGTTACAGTAGGGAGAGGGTGGAAGTCTAGCCTCCTCACTGAACTTCCGTGGTGGAGATGGGAGTGGGGCTGCAGTTTTTTTCTGTGGTGTTTGGCTGAAATAGAGCAGTTAATGTCCAAAAGTTTTCTATCTTGCTAAGCTTCCCCTTTTCTGGTCCTTTGGCTTTTCTTGCGGTTGTTCTTGTCTCAATCCATTGGTATTTCCTGGTTGCTGACTTTTCCAGCACCCAGTCTGAGATACCTGAGGCAAAAAGAAAATTCAGGGAACTCTATGCTGTGGTCTTCCTAGGGCCTCAAGGTCTCTAGGCAGTCTGCTTTCTTTTTCTCTACCTCTCAAAATCTTATGTTTGTTTTATATATATTGTCCAGGGCTTTTAGTTGTACTTACTGGGAGGAATAGGGAAAAGTGCATTTACTCCATCTTGTGTGGAACCATATGGAGTACTTTAAAATCACCTCTCAGACACTGATCATTAATGTGTCTTGTTTTCACAGAAGGTTAATAAAAGTTGATCAGCCTCCACATTCTTAGTCTTTAATGGAGTAAAAGTATATGCTTAATAATACCATTTACTGTTCTGCTTTATATTTAAGAATCCTGTGCACATTTCTGACTGAAAACTTGAGCTTTTGATGGTAAGAGATTTTCCATCATCCATGAAAAGATGATGACACATACTGAAGAACATAGTGCTTCTTGTCACCAAATCAGGCTCTGAATTTATATTACCTTTTTCTGTATCAATTATTCTGACTCTTTCCCATTCGACATGGTTAGAGATCAGTGATTCCAATTTGTGAAGAAATTAAGGCTTCAAGACGTTAAATCACTTGCCAAAGTTTAAAGAGCTAGTTATGTTCAGAGCTAATAGGAGCAACTTGATTTTATAACTCAGGATCCTTTCATTATACTACTGCTCCTTCTTAAATTCTGATATTTATAACTTCTAACACCAACACAGCTTCAAATATAAAAATTTAACAAAGTTTAGAACTGAGTATGAAATAAATTAATTGTATTATTCTTTATTTTTGTGTGTCTGTGTCAAAACAGTACCTTTTATTCTGTTTTCTAATTTTAAAGGAAAAAAAAGAAATACATGTTCATTACAGAAAAATTCAAAAGATCTAAGGAATAAAAAGAATATAAGGACATCAATCACATGCTGACTGCTAATACTTTAACATATATCTTTCTAGAACCTTTTCTTACTTTCTCTATATATGTTTTATTTTTTAAAAAAAGGAGAGGGGAAACTAATGGTTATATAATACTCTATTACATAGATATGCCATATTTATCTAATAATACCCTATTGCTATTGATTTAAGTTGTTTCCAGCTTTTTCTTATTACAGCACTACTAAAATGAACATGTTTTATTATTTCCTTCAGATAAATTTCTAGAGGTGGAAGTGTTGGTGAAAGGGCAAACACATTTTTAGGCTTTTGATACCTACTGTGAAATTACACTACAGAAAAATTAAACACCACAGAAAAACTTTATAAATGTTTTCAAAATGGCTCAACATAATTTATTTTTTATCTTAAAATGTACAGAGTTCTTGCAAAAGTACTTGATGGAAAGGGGGAAAAGAGTGATATTACACACAGGGAGAGGAAGGGGGACCAACTAGCCTGGGAGCACACGACATGGAGAAATGCAAAGGCATCCAGGTTCCTCTTCCCCTCAGCTTAACAATGAACGAAGTACAAAGAGGTTACACAACAGGAAAAGCAAATATGAACAGACAGGAAGAGACTCAGCTTCATTTGTACATGTGGCTTTTTGAGGCATCTGGAGCTCTATCATCATTATCTAATATCATATATATGTGTATGCATATATATATATACACACACACACACATTTTAACTTTGCCTTATTTACTTGCTTTCTTTACTATATTTTACCTTCATATCCTGCCCCCTCACACTTCAGCCGAATTCCAATCTCCTCATTTGTGGCCCATCTCTAGCCTCCCACTTCTATGAAACCCGTCTAGCCTAAAAAGAACTTCCTTCTTCTAGACTTCTAGCACTTATTGTTACTACAAATTGACATCTATAGATATACAGACATGTCTCTAACTAGTCTAGTTGTCCATATCTTTATTTTCCTAGCTAGATGGCAAATCCCCTGTGGACAGGACAATGTCTTACACAGGCTGGAATTTTCTGTAGTGCCTATCCTATTATAGTGGCTCAGTAGACAGACAACGTATATGTGTTGGTTGACTTGAATGTTTCCTAATTTAGATTCAGTCAGTTTCCAAAGATTGTTGCATCTCTTTTGACACGGAATAAATGAGTGCAACTCTTCTGTATTAGACTATATTGCTGCCTTAGATCTGGAGATAATATTTTTATATACCTGGAAAACACATAAGTTACTTCTACTTTAGAATAGTAACTGTGAGAAATAGTAACAATACATTAAAGCATATTTCTGCACATGAAAAAAATCATGCAATTAAGTGACAGCAGTACACACTGGGACACAAACAAGGGTTTCCTTATAACTGTCTTATTTCATATGTGACCTCTGGCCAGTCAATAGGGATTCATATCCCATATTGGTTAAATGTCACTATGAAAATTTTATAAAATATCACAGAAAAGCTGTCATACACCCATTGAGTTCCTTGGGAAAAAAGGCAATACACAGTAACACATTTTAAAAGAGCTATCTGATATTTTAAAATTTAAGTCATTGCTATAGAGGACAGTTGATCTAGACTATGTTTTAACATAAAACAAACAGAATAAAAGTTTAGACAGTGAAACTAGGCTGCATCAATTACTGAGCTTTGACTGGCCACAGCATGCTTACATCTCATCTCAGAAGCAGCTTCAGCTTTATCCTTAAGCATGTGCTTATTTTGAGCTCATTCTATGATGTAAAACACTAAACAATGACCATCTCAAATGAGAGAAAGAAAGCAGAGCGTACCTTCACTGCTGGCAGCATGTCCAAGGAGTCCAGTATGAACAGCACTAGCGCTTGCATCAGCATCATAAATTGATTAAATTGCCATGTCAGACTAAAGAGAAAAGTTGATATGAAAATGGCAAGAAGTGTCAGCCTCTGTAAAAAGAAAACCTTTGTATAATTTACATGTCTCCAGTAATAAAAAGCCTTGTAGACAAATTTTCTCAAGAGCAGCCAATATCTCTATAAACCAAATAAAAAACCATAAACTGTTGCTCTGAAAACCCTTGCATTTTTTATTTAAGCTCTAAATATCCTAAAGCGACGCTCTGCATATAAATATCCACATATGCTATGTGTACTCCACACTATTATGGAGGCGACAATGCACCAAATCACATCTCAAGAGCAATGGCTTAAAAATTCTGACAGTTTTGCAGAATTGCGTGTGGGTTTCTTGCAACCATTTAAGGGCAGATTACGTAGAGCACATTTTTAACATCAAAAATGAAAACATTTTCTTTGCAAAGTAGGAAAAGGCTCAGAAAAAGAAAACTTAATTTAACTCAAGTTAAAAAACTGGTCATGGAATAAGAACCGTTCACATGCACTGGGACACTGTGCACATCACATTTTCTGAAGCTTCTTATAAAACCTGGAGAATTAAAAAAATGTATAAAGTATTATAAAAACTTACTTCAGAAAGAGGCTGTAAGTTTGGTCTCAGGAAATATGTAATTGCTGCTATCTGAATTGCAAAGAATGGCAGTGCCCAGTTCTCCCTCAATGGGATGGTAAACTCAACTCTTGTAGTATCTATTCTGCACAAAGAAAACACAAATGGCCGAAGTGATAATTTTTACCATAACTACCTCAAAGGTTCCCAAAAGTGAAAGATATATTACATTAAGTATACTTAGATTCCGGTTATTGGTTCTCAATAACAATTTGTCCTTATCATTTCTGTAACATAAAATTGGCACTGAGAAAATTTAAGTACCTGCCCACAGGTATGTAGTTAGCTAAGTGGCAGAACTGGGGTTCAAACCCATGCTGGTGTGGTTCCTAAACCCACGAATGTTCATGTCAAACTGCATGGTACTTTTATTTCTCTCTAACTTCATCAGTGCCCACCGGCAATGTTTTGCATTCTCCCTCTCTGTATTTCTCTAGTGCTTTACACTTGAGTCTTAAATTTGTCTTTAGCAATAATTTTTAAAAGCTTCTTGCTCCCCTAGAGGGCAAGTCTAGTTAAGTTTTCATCTTTGTACACCCGGTACCAAGAACCATCCCTACACATACTAGGCGTTCAATAAATGCCTTTTATTTACTCTTAACAGAAACAATAAAATTGAGTTTCATTTACTCTTAGCAGGAATAATACGTAAGATTAAAATGTTAAGAGGCAGCATAACAGCAATCTCACATCCTGCGTTTAAATTCTGACCAAGACTTAGCTCTGTGTATATGTGTGTATGTATATGCCTTTATCTCTATATAAACATATATGCCTGTATAGATATATTCTCATATACGCACACACATATATAACTTAACCTTTTAAGCTTCAATTTCCTCATCTCTAGAATGGTGATAATAATAGTCCTTACCCTATAGGGTTAAAAGAATACATATAAAGCATTTTGTCAAGTGCTTGGCATAGAGTAAGCACTCAATAAGGTTAAAACAAAAAGTAATTTGCTTAGGATTTCAAAATAAAATCAATATCAAACTCATGTTCAAGTTTTAAGACTCCTACTGAATATTGGTTTTGCTACTGTAGATCAGGCAACAATTCAATATATCTTGAATACATTTAAAAAATGCTATTTCATAATGCTCCAGTATTTAGAAATTAATAATAGATATTAACTAAATAATGTAAGAACTTCCTTGTATTTGTATAGCGCCTTATGCTGTGCTAATTATGAACTGCATATAACCCTTTTAAGGTTGACAGTAAAATATTAAACCTGTTTAAGAGATGAGATATGTGGCTGCAGAAATATCGATCACACAGCAAATTGGTAATAGAATTAGGATTATTATGGATGATTTTCTTGACTTGCAATTCAATGTTCTGTTCCTCAGCTGGAGATATATGTAAGCAGGAATTTCTACCTTACTAAATAAGACAAATAAATACTGCTAGGTAAACCAAAGAGAAAATACTTCCATACAAACAAACGTGGCTAAACTTTCTCTGAACTGGAAATGGAGTAACTTTATTTTAACTTATATTTTAGAAAGGGAAGAGGAATACTGACTCCCACTCACCTATTGGTGACATACCAGAAAGCTGCTAATAGTCCTGACAGCCACGTACCACTAAGGAGCCAGCTGGTTATATAAAGCGCTGTGACGTAGATTGCTTGAAGTCCAAATAAAGTGTAAATATAAAAATAAACTGGCTCTAAATATTTCTGTAAAAGGGAACAATAAAAAATATTTGTTAGGGAAGCCCTAATCCTTCTCACTGCCATTTAAAAAATATGACAGTGGAAATTTAATATTCAGAAGCTCAGTATTAATTCCAGGCAATAAGCCTACATCAGTCCTTTCCATGTAAAAGTGTGCTAGCAGCCTTTCTTCTCACTACCAAGAGCACAAGAGGGAAGGACGTCCTTGAGGACTCTGGCTTCATTCTTTAGAAAAGTTTTACACCTAGTTTTGTCCAGTTTACCTTATTCACAGGAGAAGTGGTCACTGTGATTTGCTAATTTTCCATTTTTTTTTTATTTCAATGATAAGTGAGGAAAGATTATGTATTTCCAAATAAAAATATTTATCAGCTTCTAGACTGTGCTTCCTGTGCCAGGCAACATATACATGTAAAAAATCTTATAAAACATAAATACAAAGCAAAGTTTACAATATATATGGAAAAAATTAGGATATTGTTATTTTTATACCAAGCCAGGTGAAGATCAGAATAACATATGTTAAACTTTCAATTTAGCAATGGCAGATTTTGACTTTCATCTGATATCAACTATTCAATGTCACAGAACACAACATACCTGTATGGGTAGAACTCTATATAAAATACTGAGAAAAACCTCTTGGTAAATATTCATTCTTTGAAGGAGGTTAATTGTCCTCATAGATTCAGTTTTGTTATCATATATTAAGCCATGAAAACCTAAGGTTGATATTTGAAAAAATCAGGAAAAAATAATTACAATTATAATTATTCATTCATTCAAAACTATTCACAGACTCTTTAGCATTTGCCGGAGAATGTGCTAGGCACTTGGGATATAATAGTAAGCAAAAAACACAGTCAGACCCTCAAAGAGATTCCCATCTATTAGATGGATATTATTTAAATGTTTACACAAACATAGGTAAAGTATAACTTTTGTGAGGGCAATGAAAAAAAAACCATATGGTTCTTCTATAGAAATTTGGGCAGGAGGATTTTACATGTCCCTGCCCTGCCCTCCTGTCATGAGACCTGCAGCACCTCCTTTGGGAGAGTATATGTAGCCGCCCCCACTCCCCCGGGGATGGGTTTGGCCATTTGACTTGCTCTGACACTCAATGCCATGTGAGTGGATGTAACACATGAAATGTCTGAGCAGAATCCTAAGAGCTAATGCAATCTTGCTCTTTCCCTCTGTCACGATAAGAGGATGTTCCAAATAGGGGCTGGATAATGACAACAAAAAATAAACCAGTTGTTACAGAATTAATTCCATTGCTGTATTGAGGTCATTTGCTACTGTAACCAAGCTCACTAATTAACAGAAGGTACGAAGAAAACATGCACACAGTCCCTATACATACGAAAAGATGCTCAACCTCACTCCTACTAGAAGTGCAAATTAAAACTATCCTGAGATACCATTTCTTACCTGTCAGCTTGGAAAAAATCAAGAAGTTTGACAATATACTCTTAGTGAGGCTGTAAAGAAGTAGGCTCTCTCACACACTGCAGCTGGGAACGAAAAATGGTATAATGCCTGTGGAGGAGAATTTGGCAACACCCAGCAAAATTACATGTGCGTTTACCCTTTGATCTGGGAAGCCCATGTCTAGGTATTGATTCCAGACACAGACTGGCCAAAAGACAAAATGACAGGCACAAGGTCATCACGCAGTGCCATCTACAAAAGCAAAGATCAGACACAACCCACGTGTCCATCGTAGGAGAGTTTTAGACTGAATTATGTCCTCCCACATTGCTATGCTGAAGCCCTAACCCCAGTGTGTCTGTATTTGGATAGGGTCTATAAGGAGGTAATAAAGGTTAAGTGAGGTCAGAAGGGCAGGGCCTTAATCTGCTAGGACTAGTGTCCTTATAAGAAGAGGAACGGACAAGAGAGAGCTCTCTCGGTCACTCTCTGCACACACAAAGAGGAGAGGCCATGTAAGAACACAGCAAGAAGCTGGCCATCTACAAGCCAGGAAGAGAGGCTTCACTAGATACCAACCCTGACAGTACCTTGATCTTGGACTTCTGACCTCCAGAACTGAGAGAAAATATATTTGTGTTGTTTAAGTCACCCAGTCTATGGTATCTGAGGTTATGGCAGTCTTACTAGACTAATACAGGAGTGCTATGGACTGACTGTGTGTGTCCCCCAAAAATCAGATGTTGAAGCCATAACCCCCAATGTGATAGTATTTGCAGAGGAGGCCTACGGGAAGTAATCAGGGTTAGACAAGGCCACAAGTGGGGCCCTCATGATGGGATTAGTGCCCTCATCAGAAGAGACACCGGAGAGCCTGCTCTCTGTCTCTGTCTTCCACATGAGGATGCAAAGAGAGATAGCCATGTGCAAGCCAAGAAGAGTCCTCACCAGAACTTGACCATGCTGGCACTCTGATCTCAGGCTTCTAGCTTCCAGAACTGTGAGAAAATAAGTTTCTGTTTTTCAAGCCACCCAGTCTACGGTATTTTGTTACAGCAGCCCAAGCAGATGAAGACAAGAGGGCTACTTGAATAAACTATGGTCTTCATGTAAAGGAGTACTATGCAATTGCAGAAAGGAATAAGGAATATTTTTTTATGCTAATACACCGTGATCAAAACTTTTATTTTCCATTTTTTCTTTTTTTGTGAGGAAGATTAGCCCCGTGCTAACGTCTGTTGCCAATCCTCCTCTTTTGCTGAGGAAGACTGGGCCTGGGCTAACATCCGTGCCCATCTTCCTTTACTTTATACGGGACGCCGCCACAGCATGGCTTGACAAGCAGTGTGACGGGGTGTGACGGTCCACGCCTGGGATCTGAACCTGCGAACCCCGGGCCGCCAAAGCAGAGCGTGTGAACTTAACCGCTATGTCACCGGGCCAGCCCCTGATCAAAACTTTTGTTAAATGAAAAAAGCAGAGAGCAGTGTATAAAGCAAGCAGGATTTTTTGGTAATAAGAAGGGAAATTTGAATATATAAAGTATTTGCTTATATTAAAAATATTAACAGGGCCGGCCCCGTGGCTTAGCGGTTAAGTGCGCGCGCTCCGCTGCTGGCGGCCCGGGTTCGGATCCCGGGCGCGCACCGACGCACCGCTTCTC